CAGAGGCACGGGCATGGGCACGGGCACAGGCACGGGCAGGGGCACGGGCACGGGCACGGGCACGGGCACGGGCACAGGCATGGACACGGGCAGGGGCACGGGCAGGGGCACGGGCACGGGCACGGGCACGGGCGCACCCATACATCATTATAAAATTCCATCCCTCCCCCCATCCGACCCCACACCCTCCAATCACCTCAGTGATCTCTCCACCAATCAGCTTGCAGGAATTGTCCCCGACACCATCAGCAGCATCCAGCGGCTGCGGCAACTGTAAGTGGCACGGCAGAGGGGTGTTCTATGCTGTCCCACCCACGCTGGCATGATGCATCAGGTTTGAGCGCTGCGAGCCTATCCCATTCCATGATCCATCCCATTCCGGACACCATCACCAGCATCCAGCGGCTGCAGCAACTGTAAGTGGCATGCCTGCTGTGACGTCATCACAACAGCAGTGACGTGACATAGGTTCCTCCATGTCCCACGCGTCTCCCCATATCCCCCCACGTATCCTTTCCCCTATCAGCAACCATTTCTCTTCCAACAGCCCATGCCTTCCGCCATCGCCCTCCTCCTCACCCACCTCATCCTTAGTTCCTCCACCTCCCTCCCTCCCATTCATCCCTCCGTCCTCTGCATCCTCCCTTTCCCCATCAACAGCAACCTCTCTTCCAACAGTCTCTCAGGCACCTTGCCTTCCGCCATCTCCCTCCTTACCAACCTCACATCCCTGTACGTCCCAACTCCCTACAACCCCCTCCCAACTTCCCTGCTCCATTGCTATCCCCTTTCCTGCATTTTCGTTGCTATCTCTCCTTGCCTTCTGCCATCGCCCTCCCCACCAACCACACGTCCTTGTAGGTTCCCTCCCCTTCTCGTCCCTGTAGGTTCCCTCCCCTTCCACAGCTGTGAGCTGCCCTCACAAAGTATCTCCGGCTCACGAACACCCCACATCCTACCCACTCCGCTCTGTCTCAGCAGAGACCCGAGCTACAACCAGCCAGCTCCTCAGCGGATCTGTTTCAGCATCCCGTTCTAGACTAAAGCATTTCACATCCCCCCCTCCTCCACCCCCTGCCCTCCTCCTCTTGACAGAGACCTGAGCTACAATAAGCAACTCGGTGGCTCCATTCCATCTGCACTGGGACAGCTGAGCAACCTCACTGTGCTGTAAGTTGATTTGGTTAGAAATGAGGCACTTTAGTCTTGCGGTGCTGTGAATGAAGCTGTTAATCCTGTGAGTGAAGCTGTTAGTAATGAGTTGAAATAACCTCTCGGTTAAGTGGAACTTCATATAGTGGAGCAAAATATCCTCACTCTGATGTGAGTGAAACTTCACTGTGCTGTGAGTGAGACTTCACTGTGCTGTGAGTGAGACTTCACTGTGCTGTGAGTGAAACTTCACTGTGCTGTGAGTGAGACTTCACTGTGCTGTGAGTGAGACTTCACTGTGCTGTGAGTGAGACTCACTGTGCTGTGAGTGAAACTTCACTGTGCTGTGAGTGAAACTTTTCGCCTTGCCTCTCCCCTATCTGTACTCCAGCTGAATCAATGGCACCAGCGCCACCTGCCCCCTCCCCTCAACGCCATGTGAGGTGCCTCAGTCGCCCACGTCTGCCTTCTGCCTCTCCCCTCCCCCCCCTCTCCCTTCTCTCAGTGCCATCAACGCCACCAGCATCACCTGTCCCCTCCCCTCAACGCCGTGTGAGGTGCCTCAGTCTCCCACCTCTGCCTTCTGCCAGGCCTGCTCCAATTTCTGCACCTCCTGCTCTTGTGAGTGTGCATGTGTGTGAGTGTGCACACATGTGAGTGTGCATGTGTGCAAGTGTGCACATGTGTGGGTGTGCATGTGTGTGAGTGTGCACATGTGTGAGTGTGCACACACGTGTGAATTGAATCAAGTGTTTGTGTCTACCCTCACACATCTGTGTGCGAGTGTGAGGTTCCTCAGTCACCCTCCTGCCCAAGTGATTGTGACGTCTCGTCCCCATCCCCCCATGCAGCAGCCAACGACTAGTGCTCGTCCTTTGCTTCCAACTCATGTGGCGAGGATGGCACGTGTGTGCCTCTCGCCGATGCCAGCACCCATCGCACTTGCTGAACTAGCCTTTCGTGTCCACCCTTCCGTTCCCCCATGCAGCAGCCAATGACTCGTGCTCGTCCTTCGCCTCCAACCCATGCACCGAGGATGGCACGTGTGTGTCCCTCGGCGCTGCTAACATCACCACTGCCAGCAGCAACTACACTTGTCTGTGTAACCCCGATGCTGATCTGGTTACCACAGCCATTGGCACACTCACATGCATCAAAAGTGAGTGAGTGGCATGTGTTTCCTCCTGCAAAGGTTTGTTTCCCCATGCTTGTTTTTTCAACTTTCAAGTTGCTACTGCACATGCCAGTGTAAGTAACCCCGCTGCTGTTCTGGTTACCAATTGCAACGGCATGCCCAAATCCGCTCACTGTAAGGGGGATCGCATAGAGCATGTCTCAGCGTGCCCCTAATATGGCCAGTCACATCACATCTACCATGCGCATGGGCTTAGGGCGCGGGCATGTGTGTCGGGCATGCGCATGTGCTTAGGGCATGTCTTACACACATCATCAGCTTACACCCGACGTTCATGCATCCTCCTCCCCTCGAATCAATGCTAATCCGTACTTTCCCTCCTCTCTCCCTCCAATCCTCATAGCTAACCCGTGCACCGCCTACCCTTCCAATCAACCCCTTCTCTCACCAGCAGACTATCCTGCACAATCCCTTCCCCCCTCCCCCCGGTCATCTCACCCCAGCCGACCCCTGCATCAGCAACCCTCTCAATCCCTTCCGATCGCTGCCAACCCCCGTTCTCTCTTTCCTTCCACCCTCGAATCCCAGCTGAACCCTGCACCACCTACCCTTCCAATCAACCCCTCCTTTCACCATCCCTTCCCCCCATCCCCCCAATCCTCCCACCTGACCCCTGCACCAGCTACCCGTCCAACCCCCTTTAACCCTCTTTCAACCCCTGCTCCCTTCCCACTATCCCCACCCTCACAGCTGATCCCTGCACCAGCTACCCGTCCAACCCCTGCGGTGCCGGCGACTGCATCCCCTCACCACCTGCTCCCGCTGCTGCTCCCAAGAAGGGCCGTCCCCCTCTCAATACTCCCTACTCGTGCCGCTGCTCTGCTGGCGCCACTGCTGGGTTGGGGGCCAATGGGCTGCCGACATGTGTCTCTCCTCCCCCACCGTCTCAGGAGCCGTCAAATGCAGTCGGTGAGTACGTGTGTGTGTGTGCTGCTGAGTGGCATGTGCTGGTGTGATAGAACTGACTTTTTTAGACTTTCCCTTCCCTTTCCCTTCCCTTTCCCTTCCCTTCCCTTTCCCTTCTCGTTCCCCCACTAAAAGCAATGTCAACAGGCGCAATTTTTGGCATTGCGGTGGCCTCTTGTGCTGTGCTTCTCTGCTGCCGCTCCCTGGTCTTCTTGTCCTTGTGTTCGATCCCCCCTTCTCGTCCCGTCCGTTCCCTTCCCTCCCCCCTTCGTCTACCAACAGCAATGTCCACAGGAGCTATCATCGGCATCGCAGTGGCAGCGTTCGCTGTGCTTGTCTGCTGCATCACCCTCGTCTTCCTCTGCTGGCGATGGCGCAGCACCAGCCAGAGCAGACAACTGGCAAACCAAGGTATGTGCTGGCCAACACAAGTCAACAGCTGACCATTGAAGGTTCCCTTGTCTGCTGCATCACCCTCGTCCTCCTCTGCCGGCGATGGCGCAGCACCAGCCAGAGCAGACAGCTCGCCAACCAAGGAATGCACGAGTCAACCCAAGTCAATGCATCTCAACAATAGTCAACTCAAGTCAATAGCTGACCGCTGAAGATACCCTTGTCTACTGCGTCACCCTCCCCCTCCTCTACTGGCGATGGCGACACACCAGCCGGAGCAGACAGCTGGCCAACCAAGGTATGTGCGAGTCAACGCAAGTCAACAAGGGTATGCACAAAGCTCAAGTCAACAGCTGGTCAACAAGTATCAGGGCAGGTCACAACATGGCTGGAATGAGTTCTCTCATCATGACTCAGGAGGTAGTATACAGATTTTTAATTTTAAAAAACCTGCAAAAAAAATAAAAAATTGGGGCGATTTCTCAAAAACACTTTACACCACTAGAGAGTTTAACTGCTCCCCTCTCCCATGCCTCGCCTCCCTGCTGCACCGTCATCATCGTTCCAACAGGTTGGCAGGCAGAAGCCGATCGAAGCTACCGTAAAGACGACTTCTTCTAAGAAACTCTTACGCACGACTGCTATAAGGCGGTTCTGCTATACGGCCCTACTGCCATAAGGTGCTACTGCTATAAGGCGCTAATGCTATAAGGATGTCATACAGATATTGTCGTGGCACAGCTGCTGTGTCGTACACGGTCGGTAGGTGTCCCACCAACCGGCTGGCTTGATGCTCCCAACACCTTCAGGAGGAGACCGTCGGCCTACCAAGACTGTTTCCAATTCGAGGGTGCTTGAGTCGAGGGTGTGTTATGAAGTGCCCACGTCTACTGTACGCCTAGTGCGGTGCGTGGCGTTGGAAAGCGGTCTTTGAGCTGCACCGCTTTGGATTGTGCAGCACCGCGGCAAACCGCAGAATGGACAGGAAATGCTCTCTTGGGGCATGCCCTGAGATTTTTCCTAATTGGGCATTAGAGTGGGGAAGGGGGAAAGGAAGGTTTCTATTTGGCTGGTGAGGCTCTAGCTTTTGTGTGCCCCTCTAAATGGCTCATTCAAACACTTGGTTTGCGCTAGTACAAAGCAGATATCGCATCTGCTTTCATGGGCTGAAATCAGGATTTCTTTTTGTCTGGTTAAATGCTGCGATTTCTTTGGCTTGCACAGTACATGTAGAAGAAATAACATGTTTATTGCGTAGTGATTTCCACATGGCTCGTTCAACGACTACATAAGGATAGGTTACTGTATATTGAAGCTCATTATAGTGCACATTCAGCATGTTCCACGAATGCTCTTACCACTGCTGGCTACCAAACCTTACTGTTCAGATCCTGAGGGTAACTCCAAACACAAATAACACCGAAGTATACGTTCTAATGCGGTCCTTGCCATCCTTGTTCCAGCAGCTGCCTGCTTTCGAGGCGCATGAAAAACATGATACCGTAGAATATCTGCTTCAACTCAAAGGCCATCGCACTCGGATGCTGTCACGTAGCCACCTTGTTCCGACAGTGGTATCAATTACGGTCTTGCATATTCACCTATCATCTTTGTCTCATTCATCCCAGGGCCATCGCACTCTGATGCTGTTGTAGAGAGTGGAGGTGTACTCAACGGCCATGTTCCAGCTGTTATCAATAATGGTTTAGCATATTCACCTACAATCTTCATTCTTCTAACTCAAGGCCATCGCACTCTGATGCTGTCGTACAGAGCAATATACTCCTTAGCCGCCTTGTTCCAGCTGTTGTCGATGCTCATCACTGTAGACGTCAGCTGCTGCCACCACTCAGGGCCTGACATGTGGCAGAAAGCGAGCAGACGTGTTGTGTGAGGATGTGGCAAAGGTTCGGGGCATCGAATAGATGGCTAGGGAGTAGGGTATAGGGTAATGTATCAAAACACAAAGGGATAGAGGGCAACGCAAAGGGATAGAGGGCAACGCAAAGGGATAGAGGGCAATGAAACACGAGGGGACAGGGCAATGAGCCAACCATTCTTGTGTGCACACACGTGTGTGAGTTAGCGCGCGCACACACACAGACGTGCGTTCGTACTTGCGTCTAAGGCATACACGGGGTGGAGGAAGGGGAGAGAAGAGAAGCACCACTGAGGATGGGGAGGGGGGGGGGGGAGGCGCCGAGAGAGCGCAACTCACGGTCTTTGTAGTATTTCACGGCACGGGAAAGGGCTGAATCAAGCGCTTGCTCATTGATTCCATCAAACACAAATCTGCAGCCACAGGAGAGAAGGAGAGAGAGGGGTGAGGGACAGAGGAAGTGGCACGAGGGGCTGAATCAAGCGCTTGCTCATTGTTTCCATCAACACGAACCTGGCCAAGGAGGGAAGGGAAGATAGGGGTAAAGGATAGAGGAAGAGGCATGAAGGGCTGAGACAAGCACTTGCTCATTGATTCCATAAAAAAACAAAATCACCAGTGGACAGGTGATGGGAGGGGTGAGGAAGATGGGGAGATGAGGGGCGCACACACATAGGGAGACAAGGCAGAGGGAAAAGCAGGGAGATGAAGCAGAGGGGAGAATGGAAAGGCCGGGGAAGGAGAAAGGAGAGAGAAGAGAGCGAGGAGCAAAAAGAGAGATGGGCGACGAGTAAAGACACTAGCCAACCACAGGGACAGCCCCATGCACCCGTTGGCCTTTCTCAGCATTTGCTCCACATTGTTCACATGAAAGACTGAGCTGGCCAGGTCCCCTGTCTGCCTCCTTAGGAAGCGACTCCACAGGAGCGCTCAAGGCACGTCTTGGGACATAGTATCCAGTGAGCGCAACATCCAGTATCAAGGATACTATGTCTCAAGAGTTGCATTCCAAAGGAACGTTCACGGCACATGGCACAACGCATCCACATCACTCACCCGTTGCCCTTCTCAGTGTTTCCCCCATCGTCCACATCAAAGACTGTGTCTGCCAGCCCCCCTGTCCGCCTCACCACAGGCACCTGATGATGTGAAGAGATGGGGGAAAGAAGGGTGGTGAAGGAGGTTTAACTAGAACCGTATGTTCTTCCAACCATACTGCTGCCCGTTCTACCGTGGCGTCTATTTTTTAGGCGCCTCAAAAATAGACTCCTCACGAAAGGGTGATGAGGGAAGATTAACGGGACCCGAATATTCTTCCAGCAACACTGCTACCCGTTATACCCTGGCAGGCTATAATCTAACACCCTTATCACACCATCCCCCTAACCCATGGACTGCCAACCCTCAGTATACTCGCTGCGCCATAGCGCATGCCAGCTGTCATGAATCATGAGTCACCAGAAACAAAATGGATGGCAACAGAGCCACCTGCTGGCACCCTCATCAGTAGTCCCCTATCCCCTCCATCCCATCCCTTCCCTCCTCCATCCCGCATTCACTTCACTGTGCCATAGCGCATGCCAATCAACTCACAACATGGACGGTAGAAGTACCACTAACTGTTTCCATACACTACCACCACGCCATTCCCCATCTTCCCCACCTCCCAACAAGGACCCGCCGTGCCATAGCACATGCGAACCAATCTGAGTCAGCCCGCACAGCTCAAACATGGACGGCACAAGGACCACATTGTCGCACACTCATCACTGCTTTCCACACTTCCCTCTCCTCCCCCCCCCAAACCTCCCCTCCCCCAATGACTCACTATGCCATAGCGCATGCAGATCATCTGGGTGAGTCGGAACGGCTCGAACATGGAGGGCACGAGCACCAAATCCTTACGCACTCATTTTAGTGCCCCGCTTAGTCCTGCCCTCCTTCCACCACTCAAACCACCCCCCCCCCCACCACCCCCCCCCCCCCCCCTTCCCCCCCTTACCCCCATGACTCACCGTGCCATAGCGCATGCCAATCATCTGGGTGAGTCCGCACGGCTCGAACATGGAGGGCACGAGCACCATGTCCGCCGCCGCAAAGAGCTGGTGAGCCAGGCTCTCACTGTCAGCCACACTAAACGCACAGGGTTAGCTGCTTGTAACGAGGATGCTTAAAAAAAAATCGCTTGTGGCAAAAGATAAGAGAGCAAGAGAAGAAAAACGAGGAGATCAACCAGGCTTTCACTGTCAGTCAGCCACAGTACAAATAGCTGCGTGTAACAATAATGTGTCTTCTAGTGAGGAAATCTTTTATAACTGTAGGGGTACATGGCAAGGAAACGCGGTAGGTAGCACACGGCAATAAAAGTGTGGTGGGGTATGCTATGATATGATATGATATGGTGATAATGCCGCAAGTTACCTGTATGTGAGGACGAGACGAACGCTACCGCCCTCTTGAAACTGCATCCAACCATCACCAGAGAAGAAGAAACAGAGACAAGATGAGGGACACCAGAACACGAGAGGCAGAGGTGCAAGCAACAATACAGGAACAGCGTACTCAACATAAGAAACGCATCCATTTTTCCTGATCTCCGGCTCAAAGGCTTTTAGACCATTGCAACTCACACATTTTCACCTCCAGGCTCCAGTCAACTAAATGGCATTCACTCACCTCCACTCCACCTCACCTCCCCTCACCACCACGCCACCTCACACCTGCTCGCTCACCCCCTCAGCGATCTTCACAAACTCTCCAGGCACTCGCCTCAAGCACAGAGCGCTTCCCCTCTCTTCCTCCCTCCAACATTCTCACACCCGCTCGCTCGCCTCCTCAGCGATCTTAACAAAGTCTCCCTGCACTCCCCTTAAGCACAGAGCGCTTCCCCTCTCTCTTCCCCTCTCTTCTGCTCTCTTCCCCTCTCTTCCCCCCCACTCTTCCCCTCTCTTCCCCTCTCTTCCCCTCTCTTCCCCTCTCTTCCCCCCCCTCTCTTCCCCCTCCACCCCTCATCCTCACACCCGCTCACCTCCTCAGCGATCTTCACAAAGTCTCCCTGCACCCGACCATCGGGTGATGAGCCGAGAAGAACGAACTGTCCTCCCTGTTGGTTGGGGTGCCCACGGAGAGGCGAGAGAAGAGAGTGGGGGGGGGAAGAGGGTGGGTGGGTGGGTGGTGGGTGGGGTGTGGGGGAGTCTAGGGGAAGTGGGGAGGAAGAGATGGATGATGATGACGAAGGCCTACAGACCAATGGAAAAAAGAGTCCATAAGGTGGTGGGAATGCTGCGATTATGGAAGAGAAGGCCTGCTAAACTCTACATCTGCTTTTGAGTCAACTCAAAAGAAGGTGGTGGGAAGGGAAGGCTGCAATGATTGAAAAGAAGGCCTGCCAAAAATGAAATCTAGGTATGTGGTAGACGAGTCAAACCCTTGTGACATGGCATAAAAAATAGGGCATTCACTTGATTCTCTACTCACATATTCGTGGGTCACATATAATATATATTTACACAAGGCAAGCCACACACACATCCTCATGTGCTCGTGCAAACAAGAAAGGCTTACATATTCGTGGGTCTGGTAGATGGCATGGCGGATCAGGTGGATGCCCTTTGAACAAAGAGCCTCACATGCTAACATCCTCACATGCTCATGCAAACAAGGGAAGCTTACATATTCGTGGGTCTGGTAGATGGCATGGCGAATCAGGTGGATGCCCTTTTGGGCCACGAGGCGAGTCACACACACCACCAGAGGGGACCTCTCCCCCCTGATCAGCTGAGTCAGCTCTGAGTCAGCCACAGGCCCTGCTGACGCAGCAGCTGCAAGCTTCTCTGCAGCTTCAGGTGTTATTTCAGGTGTGAGGCCCAGGCCCCGCTGCACGTAGTGCTTGCAGAGCATCTTGCCGGCCAAACTGGTGGCTGCTGGAGCGGGGAGGAGGGAGGAGAGGAGGAAAGGTGAAAAGAGAGATAGTCGACTCATAAGTCACTTCAGCTCAAAACGCGCTGCACATAGGGCTTGCACAGCATCTTGCCAGCCAGGCTGGCGGCTGCAGGAGGGAGGGAGGAAGGGGGGGGGAGAGGGGAAGAGGAGGCAAGGTAAAGAGAGAGATTCTTTACAGGCCCAAGCCGCGGTGCACGTAGTGCTTGCAGAGTATCTGGCCTGCCAGGCTGGAGGCTGGAGAGGGGGAGAGGTTGGGAGAGAGGGGACAAGGAAAACAGAAAATTGGTGAACAGGCAGGAAAATTGGTTTGACTCACCACAATGGTGACATGAGACGTACCTGAGAAATGAACGAGCAAGGCATTGGTTTGAATCAGGCAAGGAAAAAGAGACGTACGTGAGAAGTGAGCAGGCAGATGGGGGTCGGTCTGTGGGTCCCACATCTCAGTGTCAATCCCGTTGAGGACACCAAAGTACCTGCCAGCCAGGGTGTGAGCAGAAATGCACAACAAAACACAACAAAAACGCTGAGATTCGGCTCCAAACATCAACACTACTTCTGGGGCTTATTGCTAGATATGAATTGTGATATAGTAACAGTAAGGATCCTTGAAGGGCCGAAATTGAGGAGGAAGTTGGAAGCCATCCGCCATAGGGCTGTTGTTCCTTGAAGATACTCACTTCAGTAATAGGACCCTTAATTGTAAACTGACTTCGATCGGTACTTGAGGAGAGCGTTGGAGAGCCATCTGTTGCAGAGCTTCTCTAATTGCTGCCTTACTTGGCGCTCTAGATAGTCCGAAGATCCTTCCTTGGCGTGCAATCAGCGGTATCAGCCTTACTTGGAGCGGTACTTGAGGAGAGTGTTGGAGAGCCATCCGTTGCAGAGCGTCTCGTTGGCGTAGGTTGGGCTCACCGTGCTGCACGCATGCGGTTGAATGCGATTGAATTTGGCTGAATGTGGTGTGATGCAGGCGAATGTGGTTGAATGCAGCTGAAAGTGGTTGATTGTTGTTGAATGTGCATATGCATGCACTCGAGGCGCACACACAATTGGCAATAAGAACACAGCATGTCCAAGTATGCGTGCATGCATTGCGTGTGATGCAGCATTGCATCTGTGCACATGTTTAGGAATAGTGCCTTTTGAGTCGACTCAGAAGTCAATATCTGTGATACAACTTTAAGTACAAGCAAATGTCCATGTGCAGTACTATCTCACACTACACTTCAACTCACGTTACAGTATCAACTCATGCTACAGTACGAGCTCACCTTACACTATATAGACAAGTTGGAGTGTCAATCCATGTTACATAGTCAACTCACTACACTATCAACTCACATCACAGCATCGACTCACGTCACAATTTCAACTCATGTAATAACATTGACTCATGTTACAGTATCATCTTAAGTTACAGTATCAATTCACGTTACAGTATCAACTCACGTTACAGTGTTCGAGTACACGATCCCTCCCTTCAGCATGGAAAGCCTCTCAGGGTTGTGCCCCACTGTGCGGTCGTCCATGGCCTGGTGGGTTGGGGATAGAGGGGAGTGAGGCATGGGAATGGATGGGAGGGATGGAACATCAGGAGATGCCAGAAACACAGCATGCACAGCCTCTCAGGGTTGTGCCCCACTGTGCGGTCGTCCATGGCCTGGTGGGTTGGGGATAGAGGGGAGTGAGGCATGGGAATGGATGGGAGGGATGGAACATCAGGAGATGCCAGAAACACAGCATGCACAGCCTCTCAGGGTTGTGCCCCACTGTGCGGTCGTCCATGGCCTGGTGGGTTGGGGATAGAGGGGAGTGAGGCATGGGAATGGATGGGAGGGATGGAACATCAGGAGATGCCAGAAACACAGCATGCACAGCCTCTCAGGGTTGTGCCCCACTGTGCGGTCGTCCATGGCCTGGTGGGTTGGGGATAGAGGGGAGTGAGGCATGGGAATGGATGGGAGGGATGGAACATCAGGAGATGCCAGAAACACAGCATGCACAGCCTCTCAGGGTTGTGCCCCACTGTGCGGTCGTCCATGGCCTGGTGGGTTGGGGATAGAGGGGAGTGAGGCATGGGAATGGATGGGAGGGATGGAACATCAGGAGATGCCAGAAACACAGCATGCACAGCCTCTCAGGGTTGTGCCCCACTGTGCGGTCGTCCATGGCCTGGTGGGTTGGGGATAGAGGGGAGTGAGGCATGGGAATGGATGGGAGGGATGGAACATCAGGAGATGCCAGAAACACAGCATGCACAGCCTCTCAGGGTTGTGCCCCACTGTGCGGTCGTCCATGGCCTGGTGGGTTGGGGATAGAGGGGAGTGAGGCATGGGAATGGATGGGAGGGATGGAACATCAGGAGATGCCAGAAACACAGCATGCACAGCCTCTCAGGGTTGTGCCCCACTGTGCGGTCGTCCATGGCCTGGTGGGTTGGGGATAGAGGGGAGTGAGGCATGGGAATGGATGGGAGGGATGGAACATCAGGAGATGCCAGAAACACAGCATGCACAGCCTCTCAGGGTTGTGCCCCACTGTGCGGTCGTCCATGGCCTGGTGGGTTGGGGATAGAGGGGAGTGAGGCATGGGAATGGATGGGAGGGATGGAACATCAGGAGATGCCAGAAACACAGCATGCACAGCCTCTCAGGGTTGTGCCCCACTGTGCGGTCGTCCATGGCCTGGTGGGTTGGGGATAGAGGGGAGTGAGGCATGGGAATGGATGGGAGGGATGGAACATCAGGAGATGCCAGAAACACAGCATGCACAGCCTCTCAGGGTTGTGCCCCACTGTGCGGTCGTCCATGGCCTGGTGGGTTGGGGATAGAGGGGAGTGAGGCATGGGAATGGATGGGAGGGATGGAACATCAGGAGATGCCAGAAACACAGCATGCACAGCCTCTCAGGGTTGTGCCCCACTGTGCGGTCGTCCATGGCCTGGTGGGTTGGGGATAGAGGGGAGTGAGGCATGGGAATGGATGGGAGGGATGGAACATCAGGAGATGCCAGAAACACAGCATGCACAGCCTCTCAGGGTTGTGCCCCACTGTGCGGTCGTCCATGGCCTGGTGGGTTGGGGATAGAGGGGAGTGAGGCATGGGAATGGATGGGAGGGATGGAACATCAGGAGATGCCAGAAACACAGCATGCACAGCCTCTCAGGGTTGTGCCCCACTGTGCGGTCGTCCATGGCCTGGTGGGTTGGGGATAGAGGGGAGTGAGGCATGGGAATGGATGGGAGGGATGGAACATCAGGAGATGCCAGAAACACAGCATGCACAGCCTCTCAGGGTTGTGCCCCACTGTGCGGTCGTCCATGGCCTGGTGGGTTGGGGATAGAGGGGAGTGAGGCATGGGAATGGATGGGAGGGATGGAACATCAGGAGATGCCAGAAACACAGCATGCACAGCCTCTCAGGGTTGTGCCCCACTGTGCGGTCGTCCATGGCCTGGTGGGTTGGGGATAGAGGGGAGTGAGGCATGGGAATGGATGGGAGGGATGGAACATCAGGAGATGCCAGAAACACAGCATGCACAGCCTCTCAGGGTTGTGCCCCACTGTGCGGTCGTCCATGGCCTGGTGGGTTGGGGATAGAGGGGAGTGAGGCATGGGAATGGATGGGAGGGATGGAACATCAGGAGATGCCAGAAACACAGCATGCACAGCCTCTCAGGGTTGTGCCCCACTGTGCGGTCGTCCATCGCCTGGTGGGTGAGGAAAGGAAAGTTTGGGGGAAGACATGGGGAAGAGGAGGGGACTTTTGAGTCGACTCAAAAGAGGAAAGGAAAGTTTGGGGAAAGACATGGGGAATAGGAGGGGTGAAAGAGGCATGGCAGGAGAAAAGAGACAAAACTGAATCTCGGGTTGTGTCCCACTGTGCGGTCGTCCATGGCCTGGTGGGTGTTGAATAGAGGGGAGGGGAGTGCGGAGAGAAGAGGGATGGGAGAAAGGGCATGGGGATGGGGAATAAGGGGATGTCGGAATTAGTTTTGAGGCGCCTCAAAACTGGGGGTGGGGGGATAAGGGGATGTCGGAAACACAGCATGGACAGCTCTCTCAGGGTTGCGCCCCACTGTGCGATTGTCCATTGCCTGGTGGGTGGAGAGTGGAGGGAGGTACAAACTGGACTGTCACACTCACACAGGAGGTGCGAATGGGAGTGTCACACTCACACAGGAGGTGCGAATGGGAGTGTCACACTCACACAGGAGGTGCGAATGGGAGTGTCACACTCACACAGGAGGTGCGAACGGGAGTGTCACACTCACACAGGAGGTGCGAACGGGAGTGTCACACTCACACAGGAGGTGCGAACGGGAGTGTCACACTCACACAGGAGGTGCGAACGGGAGTGTCACACTCACACAGGAGGTGCGAACGGGAGTGCCACACTCACACAGGAGGTGCGAACGGGAGTGTCACACTCAAACAGGATGGCACGTGCTTAGGCGTCTCCGCTGTGCGAACAGAAATTGGAACAAGCCCATGCATTCCTAGACGGCATTTCCTAGACGGCATTTCCTAGATGGCATTTCCTAGACGGCATTTCCTAGACGGCATTTCCTAGACGGCATTTCCTAGACGGCATTTCCTAGACGGCATTTCCTAGACGGCATTTCCTAGACGGCATTTCCTAGACGGCATTTCCTAGACAGCATTTCCTAGACGGCATTTCCTAGACGGCATTTCCTAGACGGGATTTCCTAGACGGCATTTCCTTCCTGTATTGGTGCATTCCCTACCCTCTCGGTGTCCGGATATGATCATACGACTGCCTCATGAAGCCACACGAGCCTCAGATACGATCTCTGAGGTGCTTGACGAACGAGCGTCGGTGCATGGCATGGCATTCCGTACCTTCTCGGTGTCAAGATACGACTGCCCGTCTAGCCCACACATGTCATGGTTCTTCAGGAGCCTCAAGAACCCTTAGCGTCTTTCGCAAACATACATTATCAGCATCGGTGCATTCCGTACCTTCTCGGTGTCGAGATACGACTGCCCGTCCAGCCCACACATGTCCAGCTGCTCCCATCTGGTGCGAAGCAGGACAACGCACACAAGGAGTGGAAAAACACAGAATGCACAGGCAGAGAAAGGCTCGGAAAGCATAGAAGATGCTTTAGATAAGGGGGTTGTCTATTCCAGTGTATAACACAGCCCCACACTGAATGTGTGCTGCTGAAGGGGATGACCAAAGAAAGAAACTCGACCTATGTATATGCAAGCTGCTCACAGCGGAAGTGGGATGAACCTGACTGCATAAACCCATCTCCCATGCATGGTGCAGTCATTCTTCATAAACTGCTCCGTTTTGTGAGTTGTGAAATTGCTGGCAGGCTCAAATCAACCATATGCAAGAATCCCCCTATACCCGTTATACCCATGTCCCTCACCTGCACTCTCTGTGGTGCTCCATGTTGTGAATGGTGAGAATGAGAGAAGACTTACTATGAATAAGAGTCGTGAATGGATTTGAGTGGTATAAGCGTATAACCGTCAATAAGCTTATCGCTCACCTGCACTCTCCGTGGTGCTCCATGTTGTGGATGGTGAGAATGAGGCGTGGCTTCTGGAATTCGGTGAGGGAAAACGGAAGGAAATCGGAAGCAGTGGGGAAGTGGATAAAAGCTGTAAGATTGAGGGTCTATGAGTCAACCCTACATACATACATATGCATGAGGGAACCGGTGAAAGCACAGGGATGCGAACATGGGGAAAGTGGTTGAAGTAGGGAGCAAAGGGGCAGTCATGGAGACCACACACCTTGCTTGAGCTGGTGGGACGCACGCCTTACACACCCACCCAGGCCTGCCTGACCACACATCTTGGTATTGAGCCGGTGGTGTGAACGTGGCGAAGGTGTCCTGTATGCACCCTGATCACAAACCTGCAGGTTGAGCTGGTGGCAGATGTCCCAGTAGAGGAGAGCGAGGAGAGCCCTTGAGGGGTGGCTGCTCGAGGATTGCTTTGATCCGGTTGAGCACATCTCACAATGGCAATAACGCGCCTGCAGGTTGAGCTGGTGGTAGATGTCCCAGTAGAGCACAGCCAGTAGAGTACAGCCAGTGGAGGATGTCCAATCCACAACTGTTTCAGAAACACGCTCTGACAGCTACAGACTACAGTAACGCACCTGCAGGTTGAGCTGGTGTTAGATGTCTCACTAAGGCAGATCCAGTGGAGGTGTCTACTCTACTACAGCTGTTTCAGAAACACGCTCTGACAGCTACAGACTACAGTGACGCACCTGCAGGTTGAACTGGTGTTAGATGTCTCACTAAGGCAGATCCAGTGGAGGTGTCTACTCTACTACAGCTGTTTCAGAAACACGCTCTGACAGCTACAGACTACAGTAATGCACCTGCAGGTTCAGCTGGTGGTAGATGTCCCAGTAGAGCAGCGCCACTGCTGCCGTGTGCCACTCGTGAATGTGCAGCACGTCTGGCTGCGCTCCCGTCACCTGATTGGATTCACATGGACATACATGGGCCGCACAGGGTACCACATAACAGGGGGGGTGTGAGGAAGGGAGGCGACACAGTGCAACAGTACTGCTGTGTGCCCCTCGTGAATGTGGAGAATGTCCGGGTGCGCTCCCCCGTCACCTGGTGGGAGGGAGGACAGACAAGCGCACGCACTTGGTTGGTACCATCACAAGGGAATGAGCAACGAAGGGCAGACAAAGGAAAGCAGCACTGCTGCTGTGTGCAACTCGTGAACGTGCAGCACATCTGGCTGGCCGCCTTTCACCTGATGGGATGCACATAGACATATCCATGCACCTGGCAGTGGCACCATAGGACAGGATGGTTGACGAGGAAGATCAGCACAGCATGCCTCAAGGCACCACGATGCACCACCGTGTGCCCCCTATTCCCTGCTCCCTATTCACCCCACTTCTGTACCCTATTTTTGAGGCGCCTCAAAAATAGACTCCTCACGCACCACGATGCACCACCGTGTGCCCCCTATTCCCTGCTCCCTACTCCCTACTCCCTGCTCCCTACTCACCCCACCTCTGTGCCCTACACACGATGTCCCACCCGCAGGAACTCCAGAGTGGCACAGCAGACGACGAGGTATGCCTCGAGCTCGTTGTAGGAGCCACACACCATACCCCGGCTTTGAACCAACGTTCTATAACGAGGCAGAACGGTAGGTGAATGTACGTCCCATCGTCGTAACTCACCTGCAGGAACTCAAGGCTAGCGCGGCTGAAGAAGAGGTATGCCTCAAGCTCGTTGTACGAGCCGCCATAGATGCGGCCGCCCCTGAAGAAATGGTTCTCAGGCTTCAGCAGCACCACTGGCACGCCCGAGATCTCCCCACTGAACGCCTGCAAGCATAGAAAGAGTGAGTGAGCATGCATGAATGTGAGTGCGCGTGTGGCAGCGAAAGTGAGAGGCATAGGTGCGGCCGCCCCTGAAGAAGTGGTTCTCTGGGTTCAGCAGCACCATCGGCGCGCCTGAGATCGCCCACTGAACGCCTGCAATCATACAAGCGTGTCTGCGCTCGTGTGAGTGTGAGTGTGTGCGTGTGGATGAAAGAGAGAGAGAGCAATAGAGATGCAGCCGCCTTAGAAGAAGTGGTTCTCTGGTTCAGCAGCACCACCAGAAATGGAGGAGTTTCAGTTTGAGGCGCCTCAAAAACCACCGGAAATGGAGGTGTTTCAGATGCCTTCTTTCCCCTCAACCTGCACTTCCCCATCTTCACCCTCACCCCTGTTCCTTCCCACTAGCTCCAAGGCCTAACCCTACTCCAACTCGGCCCCTCTCGTCTCACCTCCACTCCCACCCAGTCGCCCAGGAGCCAAAGGACCGCTGGACTTTTGAGGCGCCTCAAAAGGACCGCTGGAGCTGCAGGTTGCCAATCTGCTTTTCGCCTCTACCCTGTCTGCCTGAGTGAACAACAAATTGACTCACGTTCACCCTAAGGTACCACCACACCACATGACTCACCTCCACGCCCACCCAGTCGCCCTTGAAGTAGGAGCCAAAGGAGCGCTTGAGCTGTAGGTTGGCGATCTGCTTGTAACTCACATGTAACCTAAGTGCAATGAATCACCACAACTCCAACTCACCACCCCACGGCCCACACTGACTCACCTCCACGCCCACCCAGTCACCCTTGAAGTAGGAGCCAAAGGAGCGCTTGAGCTGCAGGTTGGCGATCTGCTTGGTGTCCAGGCACTCGTAGAACGGCAGCATCACTTCCACCGTGTGGCCCCGAGCCAGACAGGCTCGGCCCAAACCTGAAAACGAACGAGATTGGAGGGACAGCGGGGAGAAGAGCGCCAGCATCACATAAGAGACGCCTTAAATGTCCAGACACTCGTAGAAGGGCAGCATCACCTCCACCGTGCTGTGTGGCCCCGAGCCAGACAGGCTCGGCCCGAACCTGCAGGGGTACAGGTATGGAGGCACAGTGAAGAGCGCGGAGACGCATGAAACGTCCAGCATTCGTATGTGGAAGGGCAACATTACTTCCACCGCTTTTGAGTCGACTCAAAAGCAGGGTAGCAGCATTACTTCCACGGTCCGCCGTGGCACCGAACCAGACAGGCTCAGCCCAAACCTGCAAACAGAGGATTTCAAAGCCTCAGGCAGACCTGTCTGCCTGAGGATTTTAAACATGCCACAACCCGGCAGGGAGACAGCAGGACGATGGACTTTGGGACAGGCCTTGAGACAGGCTTTGAGACGGCTGGCAGTGAGATGGCAAGATGGTGGGCTTTGGGACAGGCCTTGAAACAGGCTTTGAGACGGGCAGGGAAATGGGCAGGAAGAATGGCCTGCGAGACGGGTAGCGAGACGGGTAGCGAGCCCCCAGCTTTGGACGAGGAGCCATTTCAGCAGCCACATGCACAATGTGAAGGCGCTATGCACTATGCACAGGCGGTCCGAATCCCCCTCTCCCACAACTCCGTCCCCTGCTGCTGCTCACCTGTTTCCGCGTCTTCTACATCCTGTAACCCACTACGCACCTGTAACCACATCCCCGAGGCCTCCAACTTTCGCCAGGGGAGCCATTTCAGCAGTCACATGCACAATGTGCAGGCGTTCCGGATCCCTCTCTCCCACAACTCCGTCCCCTGCTGCTCCGCCGCTCACCACCCCTGCTGCTGCCACGTGCCCCTCACTGGTTGGCCAGCGCATCCAGAACGGCGGCTCCTCCTGGGGGGACGGCCAGATGATTTGCTGGGCGGCAGTGGCTGGCACAGCTTGTCTTTTCTGGTCCGTTCCTGCAGCCTCCTCTACAACCTCAAGAGCTGCGGCTGCTTCTGCTGCTGCTTCAGCTGCTGCTGTTGCTGCTGCTGCTGCTGCAGCAGCAGGCTGAAAGATGGGGAAACGAGAATGGGATGAATAAATAGACAGAAGATTCCCGAAGCAGAGTCGGGATGTCATGTCAAGCAGCAATGTGATTGACTCCTCCATCAATTGGCTCTCATACTGACTATCTGCATCCACCATTAGACAAGCTCACTATTAGAGCCCACTATAAGCAAGCACGATACCAACAAATGGGCGCTAATTGGTTTCTGCTGCCGTCTCATACAAGCCATTTGCTGGCTCACCACGTCAGCAGAATCAGGCAGAGAGCCCTCAAAACACAGTGAATTTTCCCAAATGAACACCATACGTAAATTGTAGATTGCATGCACCCCATGTTTTTGGGACGTCTCAGTACACCCCACCCCATAACATGTATACCATAGCATACGCATTGTTATACATAGCACCATGACACGTCCCGTTTCTCACCACATCAGCAGCAACAGCGGGCGAGCCAGGAGCCCCGCCTCCCTGCATGGCCAGCGTGAGCGCCCCCTCCAGCTCCGCCAGGCGCGCCTTCAACCGCTCGTTCTCCGCCACCATCGCGGCCAGCCGCGCCTGTGAAAGGGTGGACGAATTCGAGTAGGACGTTGGACGAGTCCAAATAGAAGAAGGGTAGGGAAATGTGGGTAGGGTAAGGTTGCAAGGTTGCAGACGGTAAGGTGGCGCTCGTACTCCGCCACCATCGCTGCCAGCCCCTCCTGTGAAACGAAAGGAAGGAGGGCGGACGAATTCGAGTTGAAGAAAGGCAGGGAAATGCGGGTAGGGTACGGTTGCAGACGGCCTTTGACTCGGCTCAAAAGCAGTGCTTTCAAGCGCTCGTTCTCCGCCACCATCGTTGCGAGCTGCTCCTTCTCTGATACAGCCCTCGCCCGGGGAAGTGTGGACAGATTGGACTGGGAGGAAAGCAGGGAAAAGCGGATGGTTGAAAACCAGTTAATCAGTAGAATCACCGTTACAGTTAATGAGTAGAATCACCTTCCCTAACACAGTCAAACCTTTCATTTTCATTCAGAAGATCAAGTGATCCTCATTCGGTTTTCAATATAACAGCGTACCTTTTCAGAATCATCTGAAGCGCTTGCGGTCGCTGAAACCTGCAGAGAAGCAACAGGGAGCTTCATCATCGTGGCATTGTAACGGAATTAGTCGGATTTCGTGCGACAGAAACACGACAGCCATGCAATTCTGGGACTCGACGGAATCGGTCGAAGCCGCGAGAGAAGAAATCGAAGGTCCAAACCAGCTGTGGTGATAGGGTCGAAGAAGCTGATTAGGAGATACATGCCTGAAGGGCTCCAGATTTTCGGGAAGCGGATTTGCGCGAAACACCTCGCGATTGCTGGCGAAGCGACTCTCCAAAAAAGCTAGCCTGCATTCGCAATTTCACGGTAACTGGGTAACTTCAGAACTTGGCATGGTACATGTGTCCAGATTAGCCTGGTACAGTGCACCTTAGTATGCGCAGCATCCGGATTAGTTAGTAGAGCTAATTCAGAGGTTCGACGTAGCCACTAACAGACACATTGTACCTGAGGCAGCCTTAGCGGCGCGCAAGACGAGGCAATGGGAAGCTTTTCTTCCTTGAGGCAAACAGAGGGGACAGCTGGCAACACGCCTGCAGAGGCGGATGTCATTGCCATGGCTGCCATCGTGAGTGCTAACGCTCCTTGCCGGCACCTTCACCAGGACGGAATGCGTCCTGACTGCGATGAAGGGATGCTAGGGGCAGTCTAGACCGCTTGTGTACATATCCAGCAGTCTGTTTACTTGCAAGCTGGTCCAGAGATTGACATAGAGTATGCTCCCCACAATTCATTTGCGTCTTGGCGACCCTCGAATTCTCCGTCACTGCTCTGTCCGAACGAAGGACGTGATTCGTGCGTTGCGAAGTCTTCCTCTGGCGGGTTACCTTTCCACGGTCGCAACGAGAAAACCGACACCAGGGCAGCTGAAAGCGGGTGGCCAGGAGCGCGTTCGGCAGAACAGCCGAGCAAGGATAGCCCTATGTTTTTTGCCACGTGGCATGTGATCACCAGGTGGAATTGACGCGCTGGGAAAGAATCTCGAGCTCAGCAGAGCAGATCCTTTTCTGCATGCCAGGGAAGCCAGAAGCGACTCTCACGCGATTGAAGCTACATGCCACAAATCAAAATTATATATATAACCTACAACCAAGGCACACAATGCCCACATAATGACCACAATCAATCCAACTCCTTGGACCTTGACCTCACCGTGCAATGAACAAATGGCAATGTCACTCAGCAATCATCCTATTGCTATGATTGTATGTGCAAACAAACGAGTTGCTTCAGGTCGACAGAAGAGCTGAGAAGAAGCAACTGAAGAACGGCCTGTACAAGATCCCTGCAATTCTCACAGAACTCTGCAACGCCACAATTCTTCAGGTGCGGGAAGACGTGCGGCTACCTGAGCCAGAAGTTCCGGCATCGTCCATCATCCTCTTCTGAGCCCGCTTCGCTCTGCGTCCCAGGCCCCCCTCCTTGGAATTGGAACCCTTCTGAGCAGCACCAGGGGGGCGGGTAGGGGCAGGACGGGCCTCTATGCGCCCCCGGCGCACATAACCATTCTCACCCCATCGCCTGTTGCCAATGCGCAACGTGTTCTGGTAATAGTCTTCCTCGTCTTCTTCATAATCTTCCAACTCAGGAGGATGTTCGATCTCATTTTCGTATGCGAATTCCACTGGCGTGTACCAGGGAGCACGGAGAAGCAGGCACACTGTTTCTTCGAGCATGAAATCACTCACACTGCACAAGAACAGGCAGCAGGTCACCAGGTGGACTTTCGGAAGGCAGCTAAAGAGAAGGGAAGGAAAACGCAAAAGAGGAGGATGCGTAAGTGAATGAAAAAGCCACGAGCATACCTGCCATCCAGATTTTTGTACAGGTAAAGCGATGAGAATGGCAAGCGACACTGAGGACACCAAGGATAGGTCTTGTACGAAGCCCACTGAAGAATGCAGTTGATACTGAGCCAGGAAAAGAAAGAAGGTAGCCGTAAGACATCCGTCAGAGGGAAAATGCATCATAACTGAAATCTGAGAAATCAGGAATTCGCTGACCAGTATGAGTGATCGCATCCCTTGACGAAGCCCGTCTCCTGAAGAATGATGCCTTCGTGGCAAATTGCACACACGTTACTGTCGTCCTGAAAAAGGAAACCGTAATCAATAAGGCACGTCTGACGCTCCCTGACGAAACCAGCTGTCCAAGGCTAAAATGTCCAGCAGCTAGAGGCATACCATACCATGACTACGGCCAACGGTCTATCTAGAGAAAATAAGCATTCCCAAATGTATTCGGGCCCTCCTAGTAGACCTTGATTAGGGTACTCGCGGAAAGAGCACAGGCGTCCTCAGCGTCAACGGAAAGATTCTCCAATTTCTTCTCAACCCCTTCCACCTCGCTCGCGAAAGCCTCCACAGCTGGCGTAGAAGATTCCATGGACGTTGGGCGAGGTAGGTACGAGTCTTAACTTTGAACCACTAAGGTTCTTCCCCCGATTGTACCGACTCCTCTCCCCCGAACGAGGGGCTTACTCCCCTACCGCCCTGCCTATACGCCACACATGACACGCTCTGCACCCGGAGGGTGGCAGGCGTCTGAGGGACAACAGCAGCAAGGCTTTCCTAGGCCGAACTGCCTAGGTGAACGTTGTGGGTGGGTACAACAGTACTAGGGTTAGGGGGAAGCGTGTAGGATTTGTCAAGGATGCCCTTTGAGCGGATAATTCTTCTGCAGGGTATCTCCACTGGGAATCGAATAACCGCAGGAAAAGGAAACGCGCTAACAGGATAAAGGCACACCACAATGAGTAACACTTGATTCATGTGAAAAATGTATCTACATAAAACTCACTCCTACATTTATCATCACTACAAACTACACCACTCAATCATCATCATCGCTCAATTTTCCCAATTCCGAATACATCCACAAGGCAGACACGGCTGCGCAATGCAGGGGAGTGGGAGGGAGGGCAAACAAAACCAATAAATGAGACGTCAAACTGTGCCGACATGTTCTGTTCACGTGGTCCAGCACAAAAGGCTTGGAAGAGCAATACTAGAGATCAGTCCTCCACACCGACTGCAACAATGTGCACGGTGCGGAACAGGACAAGAAACATTGGCGCCGGGGATGCACAAATTCTGAGAAAACAGAGACTTTTCTGATAAAGCCCACTTACACACGAAGAAGCATGGTGCTGCGAAGTTCTTGACAGTAATGGTCTTGTAGACCAGCAGCTCCAGCAGGAAGTGCACGAGCGCGATGACGAAGCATGCAAAGGTCGCGAAAAATGACACGGATCAAATCTGAAGCCCACTCACAAGCAAAGAAGCACGGTGCTGCGAAGTTCTTGACAGTCATGGTCTTGTAGACCAGCAGCTCGAGCAGGAAGTGCACGAGGGCAATGACGAAGGATGCAAACGTGGCGAGGAATAGCGGGCGGCTCTCGAGGTGCAGAGCACAGAGGATGCAGAGCGTGCAGGTGACAGCCGTCCAAGCAGCGAAGGTGCGACCGTGCACGTCAGACACTGTCGTACGGGGGAAGGGGGGGAGGCAGGAGGGGGTGCAGTGCACAGAAGATTCAGAGAGTGTTTGTGACAGCCGTCCATGCAGCAAAGGTGCGACCATGCACGTCGGGCACTGTCGTACGGGGGAAGGGGGAGAGGCGGGAGGGGATGCGGTGCACAGAAGATTCAGAAGTGTTTGTGACAGCCGTCCATGCAGCAAAGGTGCGTCCATGCACGTCGGACACTGTTGTACGGGGGAAGGGGGAGAGACGGGAGGGGATGCAGTGCACAGAAGATTCAGAAGTGTTTGTGACAGCCGTCCATGCAGCAAAGGTGTGTCCATGCACGTCGGACACTGTTGTACGGGGGAAGGGGGAGAGACGGGAGGGGATGCAGTGCACAGAAGATTCAGAGAGTGTTTGTGACAGCCGTCCATGCAGCAAAGGTGCGACCATGCACGTCGGACACTGTCGTACGCGGGAAGGGGGAGAGACGGGAGGGGATGCAGTGCACAGAAGATTCAGAAGTGTTTGTGACAGCCGTCCATGCAGCAAAGGTGCGTCCATGCACGTCCAACACTGTTGTACGGGGAAGGGGGAGAGACGGGAGGGGATGCAGTGCACAGAAGATTCAGAGAGTGTTTGTGACAGCCGTCCATGCAGCAAAGGTGCGACCATGCACGTCGGACACTGTCGTACGCGGGAAGGGGGAGAGACGGGAGGGGATGCAGTGCACAGAAGATTCAGAAGTGTTTGTGACAGCCGTCCATGCAGCAAAGGTGCGTCCATGCACGTCCAACACTGTTGTACGGGGAAGGGGGAGAGACGGGAGGGGATGCAGTGCACAGAAGATTCAGAGAGTGTTTGTGACAGCCGTCCATGCAGCAAAGGTGCGACCATGCACGTCGGACACTGTCGTACGGGAGAAGGGGGAGAGGCGGGAGGGGATGCGGTGCACAGAAGATTCAGAAGTGTTTGTGACAGCCGTCCATGCAGCAAAGGTGCGTCCATGCACGTCGGACACTGTTGTACGGGGGAAGGGGGAGAGACGGGAGGGGATGCAGTGCACAGAAGATTCAGAAGTGTTTGTGACAGCCGTCCATGCAGCAAAGGTGTGTCCATGCACGTCGGACACTGTTGTACAGGGGAAGGGGGAGAGACGGGAGGGGATGCAGTGCACAGAAGATTCAGAGAGTGTTTGTGACAGCCGTCCATGCAGCAAAGGTGCGACCATGCACGTCGGACACTGTCGTACGCGGGAAGGGGGAGAGACGGGAGGGGATGCAGTGCACAGAAGATTCAGAAGTGTTTGTGACAGCCGTCCATGCAGCAAAGGTGCGTCCATGCACGTCCAACACTGTTGTACGGGGAAGGGGGAGAGACGGGAGGGGATGCAGTGCACAGAAGATTCAGAGAGTGTTTGTGACAGCCGTCCATGCAGCAAAGGTGCGACCATGCACGTCGGACACTGTCGTACGCGGGAAGGGGGAGAGACGGGAGGGGATGCAGTGCACAGAAGATTCAGAAGTGTTTGTGACAGCCGTCCATGCAGCAAAGGTGCGTCCATGCACGTCCAACACTGTTGTACGGGGAAGGGGGAGAGACGGGAGGGGATGCAGTGCACAGAAGATTCAGAAGTGTTTGTGACAGCCGTCCATGCAGCAAAGGTGCGTCCATGCACGTCCGACACTGTTGTACGGGGGAAGGGGGAGAGACGGGAGGGGATGCAGTGCACAGAAGATTCAGAAGTGTTTGTGACAGCCGTCCATGCAGCGAAGGTGCGTCCATGCACGTCGGACACTGTTGTACGGGGGAAGGAGGAGAGAGGGGAGGGGATGCAGTGCACAGAAGTTTCAGAAGTGTTTGTGACAGCCGTCCATGCAGCGAAGGTGCGACCATGCACGTCGGACACTGTCGTACGGGGGAAGGAGGAGAGACGGGAGGGGATGCAGTGCACAGAAGTTTCAGAAGTGTTTGTGACAGCCGTCCATGCAGCAAAGGTGCGACTGTGCATGTCAGACACTGCGGTAAGTGGAAGGGGTGAGACAGGGTGAGGCGGGGTGAGATGGAGAGAGGGCGGCTATGCAGCTGTAGCGCCCAGAGGATGCGGAGAGTACTTTTGAGGCGCCTCAAAGTTAGTTTCAGGGTGAGGCGGGGTGAGATTGAGAGAGGGCGGTTTTGCAGCTTTGGCAGTCAGGGGATGCAGAGGGTGCATGTGACAGGGGATGCAGAGGGTGCATGTGACAGCCGTCCA